GACGCCCAGGAAGGCCCTGTTCGAAGGGACTTTTTTTTGCCATGTCGCGCGCACCGGGTCCCCCCTAGCGGGAAATTTGACGTGTGGCCATTGTTCGATGCGCGGAACGACGTGTGGCCAACCTTTCGCGGCGTCAGCGGCGCCCGCGGCGTGAACGCCGCTTTCTGCATTTTTTGTTGGGTAGATGCTGCCGGACGGACGCCTCGCACCACCATTGTCGTCAACACCATCGCCCCGCCCAGCTGGAGCACCATAGGTAGCGAAGCGAACGGACAGCCGTTCTAAACCCTGGTCGCCACCTTTTCTACGACGCATCTCCCTCCACCTCCCTAGTCGCTGCCCGCGTCATCTTCGACGTCACACGTCGACATCCCGTCGACTCAACGACGACATCTCGATTCTGGATTAGAGCATCCGACGCTCCACGCATTACCATCGCCAACACAAAGCGCACGGCACAAGGTCGCAGCATTCCTGTCTCGATCGACGACTGGACCCGCACGCATCTTTACTCGACACTCTTACAAGGTGAGTGCGCACGAACCCGGGACGTGTGTGTTTCTGTGAGCGCTTGAGGGCGACTTTTCTGCTGACACATCAACGCTCTTTGGACGAGTTTGTGTTTGCATGTGCGTGTGCGGTTGTGTTTGTGTTTGCTTGTGCGTGACGAGTGTGTGTTTGCATGTGTGCGTGCGGTTGTGTTTGTGTTTGCTTGTGCGTGACGAGTGTGTCTTTGCATGTGCGTGTGCGGTTGATTATGTTTTGGAGTGTTTTTTTTTCGGGTTTGCGTATGTAGTGTCTCTACGTGAGGGGCGTGTTTGTGTACGGGGCGTGTGTGCGCGTGTGTGTGCGTGTGTGTGTGCGTGTGTCTGTTCGTGTGCGTGTGTGTTGTTTCGCCGATTAAACGCGCGAAGGTTGTCGCCAAGGTGTGCGGCCATGGTTGAATGAATTGTTTCGCATCCCGAGGGTACTCCTGCTGTATTCTGGCGTTGAGCGACGTGCGTGCGTAATAT